ATGGAAAAAGTGTTTAGCAATGCCAGAATTTTTTATATCTAGGGACGATATCAAGAGTAGAAGAATATTTTTCTTCTCCTGAATCTCCTATATTGATATAGGGATGGACACATTTTAATAGAATAAAGTTATTCAAGGTTCATTACTGATTTGCTTTTTAAAAATTATGTCTCACATGGTAATTCTGAGAATTTCTTTTGTTCAAATATGCACATTATGACTATTTGCTACAAGATTTTTTTTCTTTAGTAAATGGGAGTGGAATGGGAGGGAGAGAATAAATTTTTATTAATTAAAAAAGAAAACTTATGTCACCACTAGTTGACCACTTGGTGATTAGTGATTGCCACCCTAATATGGTAGACAGTTGAGATTATTCCTAGATTATTACAGTAGCTTACTGATTGGTCTTCCTGACTCATGTCTCTCCTATTTCCAATTCATCCTCCACATAGCTGCAGAAGTGCTTTCCCTAAAGCATAGGTATTATCATGTCACTTTCCTATTCAGCAAATTCCACTGGCTCCCTAATAACTCCATAATAAATAGTAATAACAATAGTGGTAGTAACAGTAGCAGTACACATTTACATAGCTCTTTAAGTTTGCAAAGTACTTTACAAATGTCCTCACAACAACCCTAGGATATAGGTGCTATCCTTATCCAAATTTTAAAGAAGAGTAAATTGAGGTAGATATTAAGTGACTTGCCCAGGGTCAGTCACATAGCTAGTTTGTATCTGAATTCAGATTTGAACTAGGGGTCTTCCTGATTTCAGTTCCAGTGCTTTACCCACTGTACCACCTAGTTTTCTCAATACAAATACTCTTTTAGGCATTTAAAGCCCTTCGCAACCTGGCTTCAACTTACCTTTCCAGCCTTAATATACATAACTCACCTTTATTTACTCTTTGTTCCAGGCAGAATGGCCTTTTTGCCATTTCTGATATATAACATAACCTCTCCCTCTTCCGTGCCTTTGTACGTCCAAGGCTCTTCCTCGTCCCTTGAACATACCCTTTCCTTACCTCTGCCTCTTAGAAATTTGGGTGTCTTTCAAGGCTTAGCTCAAATTCTGCTAACTACATGAGGCCTTGACTTGGCCCAGCCCAAGAATTGCTAGTTCCACTCCCCTCAAATTGCCCTGCATATACTTACATGTTGTGTCTCTTTGAGGATGTAAGTTTCTTGAGGGGAGGAATTATCTTCATTTTTGTCTTTGTATTTCCAGTGCCCAGCACATAGTAGGTGTTTAATAGATAATTGTTCATTGATTGATGTTGCTGACCTTTTAATAATCCAGTTAATATTGATCCAAAGACTTGACGATCCCTTGAGCATGTTAGATTGAACCATATTATCTCTGAGATAAAAGGGGCATTAGGCATCACCTGATTTATCCTCCTCATTTCATGGATGAGAAAACTGAGCCCTAGAGGGAGGAGTGAAATAGAATGAGAGACTTAGAGGTGGAGGACAGTTTCTTGTTCGTGTAGTCTAACCACCTCAATTTACAGATAAGGAAACTGAGGCACAGAGATGTTAAGTAACTTGCCCAAAGGCACACATTTATTAGCAGAGATGGAATTTGAACCTAGGACATAAAACTTGCCTAATCTAGCCTTGACTAGAATTCAGGTCCATTATACCATGATATCTTTCTTGGCTGAGATAGCCAAGGGATGTTTCTTGTTTTATTTTCATTCTTTGACTTTCTTCTCACAACATATCAACTTTCCATTTTAGGATGGAAAAAATTACTATAGGTTTCATTTAAAATGTTGGTATTTTGGCTTTCCTTCAGTAAATCTGTTGATGGACATTAAAAAAAAATAACCTGAGCATTAGAACAAATAAATGGGGGATCATAAAATTATATCTGAACTTAAAATCTAATTATATCACAGCAGTTTATATTTATGGTTTGTTTTACTATCACAAAGCACTTCCACATTCTTCTTCTCATTTGATCCTGGCAAGTACCCATCAAGGCAGATAGTGCCTTTATAGTGCCATTATTATTCCCATTTTACAGATGAGGAAACACATTCTAAGAGGTGGACTTCCAAAGTCAGAATCTGAACTCATCTTTTGCCTCCAGCTGTACCACACAGCCTCTCATGAGCTAAAATCTTCAGAACTGGGGGGTAGGGGGTGGGGGGGAAGGTCTTTGTAATATTTCCTTATAAAAGCCTCTGCTGCCTTCCCAGATATCCTTCAGTAGCAGTTCACATATTACCTATCAGTATTGCTAGGTTTTAAGCAATCTGATTTTTTCACCTGAGGACATTCATTATGAAAATTACACTTGAGAATACAAAACTTACTCATGGTAAGCAAATTGGATGTTGCCAGTTTTCATCTTTGCATTAAATAAACATATTACATAGTTCTTCCATTAAAAAAAAACTTGCCAAATATGTATGTAAATGTGGAAGCCTTTTCAAAAGAAAATCTCGCTCTTGAAGTAGTCTAGAAAATTTATTGCTAAATTGCCTCCCAAAACTTTGTGCACATTGATCAAGGATTGACTTTAAATATGAGGGTTTGGTGTTTTGAAGTATCTATTGAGGGAACTGCAACATGTATTGGCATTATATTTAAATATTCCAACTAGCAAACTTTACCTTCTTTAACCTTTCCACCCCCAAAATATACCCTCTTTATCAAAAGAGACAGATTGTTGCTATTCCTTTTTTAGAAGCTAAAGGGAGTATGCTTTCTCTTGGAAATATAGTTCGTATCAGAGAGCAAATCAATATTAGGAGATCATATGTAACTCAAACCTCTCCTTTTATAACAACACAGATTGCAGCTTCTTTAACTCTTCCAGAATCAGATTAAATAGGAACAGCAGGACACAGGGCCCTGGGTGACCTGGATGGCTAATGGTTGCCTCTAAATTAGAATGCAACTTAGCACGACAAAAAAAAAAGATTTGTTTGTTTTAAATAAAAATGGGGTAGAGAGTAACACAGATATGTATGGTTGCAACAGCAAATTCAATTCAGCAAGCATGAATTAGCTACCTCTTATGAATAAGGTGCTAGAGGAACAAGGGATGTGGGGGGGGAGGGAGAGAGAGAAATGATAGTCATATCATTTCACCTGCCCACCAGAAACTATCATTTTGTTTAGGCAATGTTCTTAACCTTTTTTGTGTGTGTGTCATGGACACATTTGGCAGTCTGGTGAAGCCTATGGACAAATCCCTTTTCAGAATAATGGTTTGTTACCTAGGACATGATAAATTTCAATTAGGGAGTTAGTGAAAAGGTCATTTTTTCTCCTCGTAGTTCACAGACTCCCTAAAGTCTATCCATGGACACCTTAGTGTCCATGGACTCCAGTTTATGAATCTTTGTATTAAGGGGGTTCTAATCTGTACACAGATAAGTAGTAGGGAGTGATGGGTGTGAAGGACAGGACCAGAAAAAAACACTCCAGCAAAATGTGAGAAGGGAGTGATCAATTTTGGTTCTGTTTGAGGGGAGTAGGAGAGGCAAAGAGAGTGGGGAATGAGGGAAAAGTATATTTGAGCTATGGAAGATGGCCTTCAAAAATGTATCAAGGTTGGAGATGTTATTTCAAATTCTGGGAACATCTAGTTGTTGATTTCATGTCTCTTACAATTTGCCATTATAAATACATAGTGTATAATACATTGTCAGATATGTAATAGCTACTCAGTTGATACTTGTTACCAGTTATGATGTAAGGTTAGATTCATATCAGAGTACCATAGGAGGTAGGGTAGGTAGGAATGTAGATTTATCGTAGAAGCAAGTTACGGTCAAAGAAAATTATATCATGGGCTCAGAGAGTTATAAGAAATTCTGAGAAGTCACCTGAGGAGTTCGACCCCCCACCCCTCTGCTACCAGGCAAAGGTAACAGTGAAATATCCCAGACAAATAAATAGGCATTAAAGGTTTGAAAATGTTTTGAATGAGTGTGTTTATTTGGGAAAGGAATTATCTTTTAATTGAAAGTAAGGAAAGTTAGAAGAAGGAAAGTGGAGTGGGAGTAACCTTTTAAGCTTATGTTCATTGTTTCATCAAACAGCATTTGATTCCTACAGGTATACGGATTTTCCTGGTACCGTTGTCAGTGTACTCTAGTGCATGCAGCTGACCAGTACCTGCCCTTTGTAGGAAAGGTCAGTGAAAACAAAATGATAAAGGGATGATTATCTGATGCATTCTTTTCAACCCCAATCTTAAATTCTTGTTCTCAGGAACAGTATGAAAATGTTTTTATGTGGAATATATCTGAGCCACAAGCACAGATTTTGTATTTCAAAGTTGGAAGAAATGAGATTGATGTCCCACACAATAGTAAAATGCCAAAAATAAGTGGCTCTGGAATGAGTTAAAGCACAGGACTTGGGAAGGCTGAGTAAAAAACTGTAGATCTAGGATGGCTGTAATTGAAAGGGACCAAATAAGTATTTAAAACCACCTCTCTCAGGACTGTTAAGATTTCTGAATTTCAAATTGGCATTTTATATTTGACAAGGTGACATTGTGTAAGAAATGTATTGTAAAACACGGCTGTACGATAGGAAAATGATTGAATGTAAATATTTCAAGATGTGGACTACTGTTCAAATGTTATCATAAATCTTTGCCATTGTTTTAGGGGATAACTCTTCATGCATATTTGAAGTGAATTGATAGGTCTAGCTTTTGGAAGGGTAATCTTCAGATGGTTTTTGCCTCAGTGCTACTAATGGTCTGATTTGATTAGTAAAGAATACTGTTAGCTATTCACCATTGTTATTTTCTATGTGTTAGTATGTAGGAAAAGTCATTATTAAGTAAGGAAAAAAAAACTAATGGAGTCTGTTTATGTCCCCATTCACTGAAGGGCCTGAAATTTCAATGTTATGTGTATGGAATCAGAAGATGCAATTATTTCTGATCTTAAACTTTTTTAAAAGAAAAAAGTATAAAAACCTTACTTTAGTTGGAAGATTAATTGTCCTTCCATTTTTTGCAGGTTTGGCAGATTTACAGTTGCTGCTCTTCAGTCCAAGGTAGAACAGTATGAGAGAGAAACAAATCGCCTCAAGAAAGCCCTGGAACGAAGTGATAAATATATAGAAGAATTAGAATCTCAAATCTCACTGCTAAAAAGCTCAAGTGAAGAAACTGAAACTTCAAACTCCATTAGCCAAAGAGTACTTTCTACAGAACAAGGAAACAGCCACCCTGAGGAAAGTACCACAACTTTAATAAGTCAGGTAGATGGTGTCGGAAAGCAGTCTGTTGCAGCCAATCCAACTTCTTCACACCTTACACAGTCTTCAAGTAGTAGACTCTTAGATGTTAACTCTGCTAGTCAAGAAGGCTCAAGTGAGAGAGAGACAGAGTGTTGTAAGAACAAAGAACTCTTCCCAGAACAGTTGAAAATCCTGTTAGATGTTACTGATACAAGGATGGATGCCTGTTTGGAAAGACAGTGGAATAATAAAACTGGGAATTGTGACCTTTACAAAGATGAGGAACTTTATGATCTCCCAGCTCCCTGTACCCCCTCTTTGTCTCTTAGTTGTCTTCAGCTCAATACCCCAGATAACAAAGAAAGTTCTCTGGTCAAAACAGAGAGTATCAGAAAGCACTCACACCATCTAAGAAAACTGGTGTTTGATGATTTTTGTGGCACCTCAAGCAGTTGTGGCAAAGATTCCCTCCAGGAAAATACAAATAGTTGTGAAAATGGAAAGAAGTCAGAGTGTTTCACTTCCCCAAAGTCAGTATTTTGGGATTGTTGCCCTACCAATTTTGTCCAGAACTTAGATTTTGGAAGTTCAGAGCAGAACACAGTGGCAAGTTCTTCTGGAGAGCTGTCGTTGAAATCCAGTGAGAAAACAGGTTCCTGTTTATCTAAAAGGTTAAATTCTATTAGATCCTTTGAAATGAATCGTACTAGAACATCCAGTGAAGCGTCAATGGATGCAGCTTACCTTGATAAGATCTCTGAGCTGGACTCCATGATGTCCGAATCAGACAACAGTAAGAGTCCCTATAACAATTTTAAATCCGCTGACGTGGAAACCCCAACAAAGTTAGCACAAAATAGCGAATTTTTGGATGATTCTGATAAACTAGAAGAAAGAACTAAGCCAAATCTTACAAAATGTTCTCAGCTGCTTGATCAGCCGGGAAATAGAAATGAATGGAAACCCACTTCTTTTTTCATCCTTTCACCATCTGACCAAGAGATGAATGAACACTTTCCACTCCTCCCTTCTCCCAATTCAGGAACTAGTGAAATCAAACCCCAGAACTGTTTGTTTCAGAGGGAGTTTTCCCAGAGTTTTTTGTTTAGTAACTCACATAAGCTGTTTGATGATCAGAGGTTTGGGCCATCTTTTTTTAAGATGTCCTCAGAGATGCACAATGTTCACAATCACCTTCAGTCCCCATGGTCTGCCTCCTTCGTGCCTGAAAAGAGGAATAAGAGTGTGAATCAGTCAGCAAAAAGAAAAATCCAGAGTAGCCTTTCTAGTGCCAGCCCATCCAAAGCAACTAAAAGTTGATTCAGTTCTGTTGAAAAGGTACTTTGTCCAGAGAGGAAAATGGAGGTTTCTGAACTATTGGTCCCCCTGCCCCAACCACCCCAGAATCCCAGCTAGTTTGTATTGATCCTTTTAACCAAAAATAAGTAAAAAATGAATGGGCTAGTCTTTACTTCCATACTCCTGAGAACCCCTTCTGGAATAATGCCAGGAAATTGGCGGCTGTTTGGGTCTTTTTTTTTTTTTAATCATCATCATCATTATCATCATCATCGTTATTTTTGTGTTGTATCAGGGTGGGTATGTTTTGTATTCTTATATTTTATTTGTCAAATGCAGTAGCCTGCTGCTAAGAAGCAGCTTGTAGATGTTAAATAAAATTCTTAGAGCTTTCTTCATTGTCCATAAAACATTTTATTTTCATAATGCTTTTCTAAGTATGTAAGTTTATTTTACCTGCCACTTTTATTTTATGACAGTGATGGCCTGATTTTAGGCGAGACCACACACATTGTGCATTAGCCCTGTGGGCTTGAGTTAAATGGAGGTTTTTTGAGTTTGGGGTTTTACTTGTTTTTTTTTCATATTGTCCTTTGACTAGCCAGTGTAGATATGACCTCAAAATTAGAGAAGAAGAAACCATGGTTTTTAACTTCAAAGTGTTTTTTTTTTTTTCTCCTTACGGCTGAGTCTGTTTACCTACCTCTTTGTGGAAAACCAGAAATTCAGCCTACTCTGAGTGGGGAAATATGGTAACTTCATGGCTTGGATGTAGAGCACTCTTAAGTTCTCAGTTCCAGATTCTAGCTCTGATGATGCGGCAGGGCTACTTATTGAAATGCTGGACTTGCTGTTTGCATGGTGCTGTGCTTTATCGAAACCACAGTCTTTGTGCATGCTAGCATTCTTGCTTGCTCTGTTTTCCATGCTAAAGAAAGTTAAGTTTTGGTTAGTAATAGAATGTCTCTCTTATGTAAGATGCAAGTGCTTTTTTCTTTTGTGGGGAGTGGGTAAGGGGTGGGGGAGGGGAAGAGTGAAGCACAATTTTTAATTTAGGTTTGGAAAAGCATTTGTTATTCCAAACATTCAGTCTCCCTATACAGGCCTTTAAAAAATGGGTTTGTATGCTAATGACTTGTTTACCTAATGTGCACTGAACATTTTACATTAATACTGTACTGTTTTACATTAATACTGCATGCTTTTCTATGTGAATTGAATAAAGGATATCATAAGCACTGTAATCCTTGATGTTGTCTCAGCTATTGAAATAGCATACGAAGAGCAGGAAAACCTCCCTTCTTATCACTTTTAGTTGATCTGGAAGTCTGAGATAAGCTATCATAAATCTTTTCCCCCAAATTGGAGTGTTCTCAGTTTCCTTATGTGTAATGAGTGCTTTTTGATTGGTCAGTGTGGACCTGGGTAAGATAAACCATCTTTCCTATAAGTGTTCTTGATCATTTTGCCTCAATGCCATGTTGATAGAACAGCTAAGTGTTGCAGTGGATAAAGGCACTGGGCTTGGAATCAGGAAGACTCCTCTTCCCGAGTTCAGATCTGGCCTCAGATACTAATTGTGTGACCCTGGGCAAGTCACTTAACCTTGTTTGCCTCATTTTCTCGTCTGTAAAATGAGCTGGAGAAGAAAATGGCAAACGTCCAGTATCTCTCCCAAGAAAATCCCCCAAAAGACTAGGATAACTCTGAAACAACTGAACAACAACCACCACGTTGATGAGTGAGCATTTAAGGTAAAGCATTTGAAATTGTAGTGACGAACCTAGAATGATATTTCTAAAGCTGGCACTCAAAGGGCAAAAGTATTTTCCTAATTGTGTGCTCGGTTAAAAGAAACAACATTTTATTTGCTAAAGACATGCCTATTTTTTAACATGTGGACACTAAAATTGTCTCTAAAATGTTAAAACATATACAAGGCGAATGAATATGTGGTGAGTTTCTGTCATCTGAATTACCATTTTCTTCTTTCCCTTCCTACCTGCCTCCCAAAAGTACTTCCCAAGCATTAATTAAAACTAATACATTCATAGGCCCAGGGAAGTGTAGGACATAATTTAATATGTTATTCTTATTTTGACTATTGGCTTTTTTAAATTAGCAAGATCACCATATTCTGATTTGGTTTTTTAAAATACATATCCATGCTTACAAAAAGACAAAATGGTTGAATAATTACATAATGGAAAGATGTTATATTTCTCAAAAATTCTTTTTAAAACAACATCGATTTATTTGAGCTCTCTTCCCGAATGGTTCAGATTAGAGTGCATATGAAATACAGAATATCCTTCTAGAAGAAAACCATTTAAATCACAAAATCTGCATGCTAGTTACTAGTAGAGTTACTAGTACTTGGTCTGTGGTCTAAGTTTCTGCTGGCCCTTGCATGTCAATAGCTAAATTGATCTGGTTAGGTTACAAAATTTATTGGTTGTTGCTTTATAACCTCTTTAAGTAGATCACATAGGTTCTTGCACACACAGGTTCCTATAAAGTCAAGCCACTAGAATTAAAAATAGAGTGGAATTTTTGAAAGTCCTGTTGGTTTAATAATGCTTTTTAACTAATGCTATTTTTCAAGTAGCATTTAATTCATGCTGTTTTCCTGTTCCTTTATATCCAACTTCTAGTTGGCTTTATATGATACAGTAAGTTTACACAAATATTCTTAAAAAAAAACCCAACAACTTTAGATCAAGGTTGTCAGGAGTATTACATTCATTCTTTGCTATTAATTTTTCAAGGACAAATAACTAGTAATTAAGGAACATTCACACCAGGAACTATATGAAAGCATACTACTAACTGAATTTTTAAAATACCATTACAAATCCTCAATAGGTAATTTGTCTTCAGATAGGAAGTGAAGAAATAATAGGACTTGATTTGTTTGATTTTTTTAGCCTTGGTGGAGGACATCAACTTTCATTCAGTTTAAATATATCCATAGTGTTTGTTTTCTCAGAAACTCAATGAGTTCCAGCTTCTTGAGTATATTTGAATGCTACCTTCGTTAACTAAAGTTAGCTTCTTTAATAGAAACTGGTCCGTGGTTTCATGGCTGTATAGAAATGCCATTCATCTGATTCAGTTCAGCAACTCACCTCCAACTTACGTAGTGTTAGAGGGATCCCTCAAAAAATGAAAAAAATGACTTGCCCACAATCATGCAGATAGTATGAGCCATGGCAGGACTCGAACCTAGGTCTCCCATACTTCATGTGCCCTCATCTATTATACCACATTCCCTCTCTGGGGTTTCTCCTACAAACACACTTAGGCTTATTGCTTACCATCTTCTATTTTGTTATTCAGTCGTGAATGACTGTCTGTGATCTTCTGGATGATAGCATGCCAATACTGTCCATGGGGTTTTCTTGGCATAGACATTGGAGAGGTTTACCACTTCCTTCTCCAGTGGTTAAGGCAAACAGGTTAAGTGACTTATCTAGGGTCACACAGCTAGCAAGTGTCTGAAATTATGTTTGAACTCAGTTCTTACTGACTCAAGGTCCAGCACTCTAGCCACTGAGACACCTAGCTGCCCCTATCCTGTTCTATAACTGACAATTACTAAGTGCCTGCTCTGTTAGGTATGTGCTACTATTTAAAGTGTTTCAAGTTCTAGAGAGAAAATTGGCTCATGATCATAATAAAACATTTCAAGAACTATTGCTATTTTTTTGTTTTGTTAATGTCATTAATTGTGATAACAGGATATTAGGTTCTGTGGAAAGAAGTTATTAGATGAAAAGTGAGAGGGAGAAAGGGGTGGGGAGGAATAACAGAAAGCAGCAGATAGTTCCATTGGGTTCAATGTTATAAATGGGTGATTGAACTATGATTCTTGGGGTTTCAGGGGGGTCTTTGGGTAAAATGTATTAACAACTATTGTACAATAACATTGACCAAGGTACAGTTAGGCAGGCTATGCCTCTATATGTGTTCCCCCTCCCCAAATGAGTCAGGATTCTGAAATATGCATCAAACCTTTCAAAAAAATCCTTTACCTTGATTGGTACTTCAGGATGATACCTGAAATCAGTCTCAAACTATGGCCTATGAGTTGTAGAGTGTAACTTAGTCCTTTGGTTAGAAGGGTTTCTTAAAGCCTCCTATGAATCTCTTCTATTCCTATTTGTGGGAGTTCAACAACTCAACCTTTGTCCATCATGTTGAAACTCTATCCCTTTAATAATACTTGGCAGATGGAATGCCTTTTAAGCAGTGATCTCAAAGTGCATTGAGAACATTTACTGCCTAATTCTCGGAACCCCACTCTGAGCTAGGAAGCATCTATCATCATCCAGATTTTTTAAAGAACCTATCTGTCTTGGAGCAGAGGTACTCTGAAGCTGTTCTGGGCTTCTGTTTAATAATATGACACTATCATTCTAGAATGCTTTGTGCTATATTTGCTTTACTTTCTGTCCTAGTCCTTGGTCTTTTGGATGCACTTTACAACGCAATACCCACTAGTGAGGAAGAAAGCCTCTGTGTTTGTCCCCCTCCCCCTCCTTCTCTCTCCTTTCCTCCAGCCTCTTACTACCTCCAATCTTTTTATAACCCTGAATATAAGTCGCTAATTACTACCTCAACATCCCCCCCCTCCCCGAAAAGGTATAGGAAGAGACCCCTTTTCAAACTATCCTTGGTTTGGCACTACTTAGGCCTTTATCTTCACTTTCAAGTAGTTACCCAAGGAATTTACTCCTTGTCGGGGCAGGGGAGAGAGAGACTAAGGAGTGTTTTGGGGATGGTATTGTCACCGAGCTATAAAGTCTTCCCAGAGGCCATGACAAGGAACAAAATTCACTTATTTCTCTTTTGCAGTTGAGTGTGTGTTTTCTGTTTCCCTTTCCCCTCCCTGCTAATGGTCCCGTGTTCACTGCCTGGGGCAGGCGGCCTGGTGGCTAGACAGCTGTTCCCTGGGCTCTAGAAAGGGTCAGGCGGTGGCCACGCTTGCAAATCACTTTCTCCATTAAGCAAAAGCCTGCTCTCCTAGGGAGTAGAAGGGGCGCCCCGCCTCGAAGATGTTTATTATCTTCTGAGGTCCAATGTGCCTTATCCTGAACCAATATGGGCCATCTCTGGGGTCAACGGTTGGGACCTTGGGGCTCCTACGTCCTTTCTGGAAAGTAGCTTCGTCCACCACGAGTTCCTCTGAGATCTTCGCCTCTCCCTCAGGGCACCTTCAAACTTCATTCCAAGTATTGCAGACAAGTCCGCCCTCGGACCCCCTCGCTCGCTGTGCGGCATCCTCGCTGCCTGCATTCCATAAACAACTCCCTTGGCCACTGGGTCCTGGGATGGACCGATGTTGAACTTGCTTTCTCACCTTCCGTACCGTGCCTTCACAAAATCTCCAAATGTCCTGCCAATGCCCCCCCCACCCAGCCCACAGGCCCAGAGAAGTCCCTTCTGCGATTTATTAGTATTATTTTTACGCTAACCAAACCTGGTGATTAAGACGAGGAACTAACAAAGAGTTTTCCTTCCACCTTAACCTTGCACACAATCCTTTAACAAATTAATTAATCCTAATGAATTAACACTTCATTTATTTAAACGCGCTACAGTCCATGAATTAAATTTTCATGCAGTGATTAAAGGCTGTTAAAATATGCATGATTTCGTTAAAATTTTATAATAAATCAGGGCAATGTGTTACATGACAAGGCAACTATTTCCCAGCCCCTCGGAACGGGCTTTGATTCGTGCGGGGAGGAAGGAGGGGGTTGCTAGGGGAGCGCGCAGTTGCTGGCTCTTCTGGCGACGGAACTCAGCTCAGATCTCTCTTCCTCTTAACTTGCGGCGTCATTGTTCCTTCTTCGGTTTCCAGATCCTTTCCCGAGTCTTACTTACGGAAGGAGAAAACATCGTCCGCTTCAGGGTGCTAAGCCGCGTGGGTGGGGGAGGGGAAGATGGAAAGAGTGGAGGTGCCAGGAGAGGAGCAGGAGGCAGAGGACTTCACCAAGTGCAACTCCCTGGTTAGGCGTGCTCAGTTGGTGTTTTACTAGGTCAGCTGCATATTTACCTCAGCAGCTAAGAGGCTCCACTTCGAGATCCTGGGCGCTGGTGCTTGGGGGCTCTTCCCTGTTGTTCTTTTAATTAGTCCGTATTTGTGTCATACTAGTAGTTTATTTGGGGGCAGCGGAGAAAAAGGTGAAACTTTCACAAAGATCTGCAGAATCACCGTATCGTGGGTTTTCTTTATACCCTGGGATCTCTAAGTAGGTCCTCCAGGCAACTTGCTCTTTCAGCCTTGAGATGGGGAGGGATTTCGTG